GCATAGCAAAAATATATAATAATTTGGGCATCAAATATAGTACGCCTCATATTTTGTTAATTTTGAAAGTAACCTGTATGAAACCGGCCACTGTGTTTAAAGATTACATTTTTGGTCAGCTCAAATACATTATTTCGGGTTTCCGTACCGTGAGTGATGTTTAAATTTCCCGCTTTTAGGTGTAGCGCGTAGACAGTTTCGGATAGTGACCTTGACGTCAACCCGGCGAGAGTGGAGAGAGTCGCTATTGCGCAAGTGCACAACGCGATAACCAATCGTATCTCAAAAGAGAAAGCGCATGACAAATACACACGATAGCTAAAAATAGAGTTGGGAATTACCGCATTTCAAGCGACAACGGTAAGGTGATGCCACACGCAAACATAATAAGCTATTGCGCACAAATCAAAGTGTACGGAACTTAGGAGCCTGTATGGTATTCGGAGTACTGACTCTAGCTTACACATTCATTCTAGCGTTAAATAAATCTGATTGAATAATTTCCCAATATTAATGGAACTAATCATCTTGTGCTTCGATTTGCATTATATTATTAGATTTTAAAGATAAACTTATTAACTGCTGCGGGGGAAGATGGGAAAGTGCAAGTCTAGAATATAATGTTTCTCAGCTATATATTATACTTGAATAAACGGTTCAAATTTAACAAAATAAGCATCTCCGTTTTGTGTTACCAGGGCTCAAAGTAGGCAGTTTGAGAAAATGCGAATGGACTTGTTTACACATTTCTAATTGACGAAATAATTTTTAGAATTGTTGATAATCACTTGCCCTTTTTTCTGAATAGCGAATTGAATTCTAAAATATCAATAAACAAGGAAAAATATAACTTTTAGCCCTGTATATATTACCCATAAACTCTTGATAACGTTGTTACAACGTAATGTTCAGACGTTGGGAGGACGTTATTGTTTGGTCGTATGACCGTTCGAAATAACAAGGGACGTTATGGGGACGTTATATGCTGACGTTCTGGGGACGTAAATAGAGAATACTACACGAGGTCTCATTACATACGAATTATACGAAACGAGTGTCGTATAATTCGTATGTAATGAGACCGAGTGTTGTATTTTATTTATTACCCACGTCTTCCATGCATTAAATTGACAAAATAGCGTATTTTTGTTATTTTGAGGTTTCAAACCGAAACCGGTTTCATAAAGAGGTTGCGGAAGAGTTTTGTACTGTAGTACAATATTTCATGACGTCACACTGTAATGACGTCACTGCCTTGGTAACAGACGTCAGGATGCATGTCAGTTGCCATCGCCTCGTACACTCCTACAGTAAACTACTCCGTAGCACCCCGTTTCTTGGTTTGCAGTTGCTTCATTCGGCTAACATCACTGGTTGAAACATTCCGTTTATGTTTTTCGACGGATAAAATGTCTCAGTTCGACACACAATTAAACAGCGACACGGCAACGTTCGCAATGTTTACATTCCCACAATGCATTTAAGTTGTAGTATGAATGAATTCACGTGTTCGTTATGAATGAAAAAATAGTTACGTCAGAATGTGACCTAATTGAGAGGTCATCGGTTATCCCAATCAAATCGTTAGAATCTCAGGTCAAGTCGTTACGACACAGGTCAACGCGATACGACACTCGTGTGACATACGAGATTAGTATGCAACTACCCATACGTTGACCACGTGGGTAATAAACGTAACGTTGTGACAACGTCCTCACAACGTAATTTTGTTAGCTGGGTTAGAAAAACACCAGCCTGCGGTAAAAATAAAAGGTGTTTTCCATAAACATTATTTCAAGACAATATAAGCTTATAAACCTTTTGTGTCCGAAATTTATCAACGTCGTTGTCAACCACGGTAGATTGGGTTTGAAAGTCCATCGGCCACTGCTCCCTTCCAAAGGCCATGTGAACTGGTGAAGTCACCAACAAATACCCCGACATACTGTCCCATAGCCACAGGCACCGCTTGTCGAACACGATGAAATCCATTTCAGAATACTAATACAAACACACCAGCGACTCGCCGCGACTGTATATATGCCACAACCTTGACATTTCTGTCACATGGTGGTGTTGAATGCCGTGAACTCCCGAAACTGAATGGTCACAAAAATGGAGAATCCCTGGTTATTGAACGACGTCCGTCTTGTCAGTAGGCATCTGCCGATTAGCGCCAACCCTGGCTCCGCTGGCAATCAAGTTGTACCGACAGGCTCATTCCCGATCTTCATGTTAGTGTTGGACTCTGTCTCGGATAGGGGTTGTCATCTGGCTTCCCGAACTTAGAAAACAACTCTCCAAAGCACGTCCCGAACAGTGGCGAGTAACCGCGATGTAGGTCAAGTTCCGCCACATCAAAGTTTGGGGTGTAGAAGTATTATATTTTGTTTTGAACTTGTGCTATTAACTTTTGCACTCGAGTGTTAATAAATGGAATAAGACTTACACATGTAATATGCGTAACAGAGTGTTATTTCGAAAATTCGTTTCTGGAAAAATAAATCCTTTCATTCTTTTGCCCAGTTTTACTGCCTGTCACCCCTACAATAGAAGTCTCTTTTCCAAGTAATGACCTCCCGCGTCAGTTTCCAAGAAATGACTTGGTGCAAACTGCAAATTAATTTGCAGCAGTTAGCAACAGAGTAATAATCATTATTTCTGTTTTATAAACTATGTATTTTTAACCGTAATTTTAACTATTTTTAACATTAATTGTATTATACCTGTTTCAAAGCACTTTCACCCATCTAACTCATATTTATATAAAACCCGTCAAAAGTTTAGACTCACTACTGTAGCCATGCACTTACTTCAGTCAACTGTTCTAAACTAGATTTTGCAAAATATTCCATACTGTTTTACATATGAACTGATGTATTGTAAAACAAATTCGTAAAGTTGCAAAGATTATTTTTCTACTCTTCTCCTATCATTGTCTCCACTTCCCTTCCTCAAAACCGCCTCCGTACATGATGAAGTGGCTATTCTAGATAGCGTCCGCCCGAAGAGCGGAAGGTCGCGGTTTCGTTCCCCAGCCGCATAATACCAAACTATATAATATGTGGTCCTTGTTGGTCCCTGCCTGGCGCTCGGCATTAATAGGTATAACAAGGACTGGTCGGCTCGGAGTCAGTATAATGTGTCTCAGTGGGGTATTCATGCTTCACTGCGGCATGGTATCTCAGTGGGCTAGTATCCGCCGTAGCAGGACCAGTCCGTAGACGTTTCAGGCTGTCTACTACTATGTTGTTGTAGGTGTTGGTTGTTGTTGTGTGTTGGCGGATATTCCTCAAAGTGACAACACAAGTCCGTCTGCGGGTCCACAACGTTTTATTGTGAGCTGTGTTTAACTAGGAGCTTAGTTAGTGCTCAGCTCCCAGTTCCAAACTAACTAACCAACGCTCATTAATTCGACTATATCTCAGATCTGATAATCTGTCTTCCTAAAATGGTATTATGGCAAGACCATGTGGAACCTCGTCCACAACCCACATGCCTCTCGTGCAGTGGTCATCTGGATCATCCTACTCTTGACCTAATAAGACCATAGCAGAAAGCCACAGTCTCACAATTTCAAGAGTATGTTTAAATCATGCACCCATTATCAGGCCAGCGGCCAAACAGCTGACCAGTACATGCCTGACCTGTGACCTCGTTACATCCCCCATGCGGTGTTAGCTAAGGGGAGAGGGGGAGACTATCGGTGTTACGACCCAGCCGGGAATTCGCCCGGCGCACACTGCGCGTGGCACACAGTATAGTGTATGTGGTATACAGTATATTGCACTTGATATACTGTATACTGCATGTGATACTAGCTCTATAAAGCCAGCTTAAGTCAGGGCTAGTACACGCAGCCACACATACACACGCATGCACGTCGTCAAATGAGCGAAATAGTCTTAGTACGGCGTTAAACCTTCACCTCACCTCCCTTCCTCAATTCCATGTGATCGGCGTACCTGCTTCCGACCAGGGTACCGTCGTATACAAATTAAGCGATCTTAGCGCTGAGGTGACCGTAACTCCCAAACTTTAACATAGACTTAATATAACGTAGTCTTAGCGCAAAGGTTGTTGTTGCACAATGTTCGGCACCCAGACCTGACCCCCATACCCGTCTCGTCCGCCCCCATGGACACCCTCTCTCCACCCTCATCCTGTCCTATACCTGATTCTGTCACCATCATAGGTAACATATCTACCTGGATGACCATAGCTTCGTAGACATCAACAAGGAAGACAGCAACACCCAGACAAGTTGACGATTCAGTCTCTCTTGTGCAAGAATAGGCATGAAGAAAAAACAAAGCAAACGGTATTTCTGTTCGATGCAAAGGTTTCATTGTTAAAGGGGCGGTGGGATAGCTAAGGGGTTAAAGAGTTCGCTCCTCCTCCCGTAGGCCCGGGTTCAGTTCCCCATTTCTGGTGTCTCCCTCTGTGATATTGCTGGAATATTGCTAAAAGCGGCGTAAACCCAACTCACTCATTCTTAAAGAGGCTACGCAGTTTGTTTTGAGTACAAAAATAAGAACTTTTCCTTCAAATAACAAGTCCGTAGGTGGACAGTTCTTCGTCCTCAACCGTGTAAGTCAAATATAAACTGACGTACAAAAGAAAGTACACACCTGATGCTTTGAAAAAACTGTTTTCCTAAAAACAGGGTAATATTTAGAAAAGTGTTTTGATTGTGACTCACAAGTCACAAACATTGTGTACGTGTTGCAAGAACACCATAGATATCGAACCCAACTGGAACATTGCTAGCAAAATATTTACGTTTTTTCAATAGTCTCAAAACACCAGGTGTGTACTTTCATTTGTACACCAGTGTATCTTGGTGTGATGCGCACGATAGAAACAAGAAAACTAAAGTCATACAGATAGATAAAAATAGACATTTATTTTACATGGTGTCCAACCACACTTTCATCAAATAGAATTAAAACAACACAACATATGATAATCACAAAAGAGGCTGATGGTTAAGGAATAAACACCGGGGTGTTTGGAACACAACACTAGAGAGGTGACACTGGTGTCTTTGGAACACAGCACTAAAGAGGTGACACCGGGGTGTTTGGAACACAACACTAGAGAGGTGATACTGGGATATTTGGAACAGAACACTAGAGAGGTGATACTGGGGTATTTGGGACACAACACTAGAGAGGTGACACTGGGGTATTTGGGACACAACACTAGAGAGGTGACACTGGTGTCTTTGGAACACAACACTAGAGAGGTGACACTGGTGTCTTTGGAACACAGCACTAAAGAGGTGACACCGGGGTGTTTGGAACACAACACTAGAGAGGTGACACTGGTGTCTTTGGAACACAACACTAGAGAGGTAATACTAGTGCCTTTGGAACACAGCACTAAAGAGGTGACACTGGGGTGTTTGGAACACAACACTAGAGGTGACATGTGACACTAGAGAGGTGACACTGGGGTATTTGGAACACAACACTAGAGAGGTGACACTGGTGTCTTTGGGACACAACACTAGAGAGGTGACACTGGTGTCTTTGGAACACAACACTAGAGAGGTGACACTGGGGTGTTTGGGACACAACACTAGAGAGGTGACACTGGTGTCTTTGGAACACAGCACTAGAGAGGTAATACTAGTGCCTTCGGAACACAGCACTAAAGAGGTGACACCGGGGTGTTTGGAACACAACACTAGAGAGGTGACACTGGGGTATTCGGGACACAACACTAGAGAGGTGACACTGGTGTCTTTGGAACACAGCACTAAAGAGGTGACACCGGGGTGTTTGGAACACAACACTAAAGAGGTGACACTGGGGTATTTGGGACACAACACTAGAGAGGTGACACTGGTGTCTTTGGAACACAACACTAGAGAGGTGACACTGGTGTCTTTGGAACACAGCACTAAAGAGGTGACACCGGGGTGTTTGGAACACAACACTAGAGAGGTGACACTGGGATATTTGGAACACAACACTAGAGAGGTGACACTGGGATGTCTTTGGGACACAGCACTAGAGAGGTGACACTGGGGTATTTGGGACACAACACTAGAGAGGTGACACTGGTGTCTTTGGGACACAACACTAGAGAGGTGACACTGGTGTCTTTGGAACACAACACTAGAGAGGTGACACTGGTGTCTTTGGAACACAACACTAGAGGTGACACTGGTGTGTTTGGAACACAACACTAGAGAGGTGACACTGGTGTCTTTGGAACACAACACTAGAGAGGTAATACTAGTGCCTTCGGAACACAGCACTAGAGAGGTGACACTGGGGTGTTTGGAACACAACACTAGAGAGGTGACACTGGGGTGTTTGGAACACAACACTAGAGAGGTGACACTGTGGTATTTGGGACACAACACTAGAGAGGTGACACCGGGGTGTTTGGAACACAACACTAGAGAGGTGACACTGGGGTATTTGGGACACAACACTAGAGAGGTGACACTGGTGTCTTTGGAACACAGCACTAGAGAGGTAATACTAGTGCCTTCGGAACACAGCACTAAAGAGGTGACACCGGGGTGTTTGGAACACAACACTAGAGAGGTGACACTGGTGTCTTTGGAACACAACACTAGAGAGGTGACACTGGTGTCTTTGGGACACAACACTAGAGAGGTGACACTGGGGTGTTTGGAACACAACACTAGAGAGGTGACACTGGGGTATTTGGGACACAACACTAGAGAGGTGACACTGGGGTATTTGACACTAAGAGAGGTGACACTGGTCTTTGGAACACAACACTAGAGAGGTGACACTGGTGTCTTTGGAACACAACACTAAAGAGGTGACACCGGGGTGTTTGGAACACAACACTAGAGAGGTGACACTGGGATATTTCGAACACAACACTAGAGAGGTGACACTGGGATGTTTGGGACACAACACTAGAGAGGTGATACTGGTGTCTTTGGGACACAACACTAGAGAGGTGACACTGGTGTCTTTGGAACACGGCACTAGAGAGGTGACACTAGTGTCTTTTGACATCAGCACTAGATAGGTGGCACTCTTGTCTTTGGAACACAACACTAGAGAGGTGACACTGCGGTCTTTGGAACACAACACTAGAGAGGTGATACTGGGATATTTGGAACGCAACACTAGAGAGGTGACACTGGTGTCTTCGGAACACAAAACTAGAGAGGTGATACTGGTGTATTTGTTAAATAACACTTGTGAGGTGAGAATGGCGACACTTTCGAACACCTCACCCACCCCTCTCCTGCACCTCACCCACCACTTCCCTTACACCTCAACCACCACGTCCCTAACACCTCGACCACCACTTCCCTAGCACCTCACCCACAACCTCTCTGTAACTTCACCCATCCCCTGTCACACACGTACTGGTCTGGCCTGTTGTCTGACACTGACACTTTCCTAACACCTTACGACATAAGTAGGTTCTAGTCCGGATTGAACCAACACACCCGCACCGACCCCTCTCTTACACCTCACCCACCACTTTCCTAACACCTCACAACTTAAGCAGGTTCTAGTCCGGCCTCAACCAACTCAACAGCACCGACCCCTCTCTCACACCTCACCCACCACTTTCATAACACCTCACAACATAAGTAGGTTCTAGTCCGGATTGAACCAACAGAACCGCACCGACCCCTCTCTAACACCTCACCCACCACTTTCCTAACACCTCACAACTTAAAAGGTTCTAGTCCGGCCTCAACCAACTCAACAGCACCGACCCCTCTCTAACACCTCACCCACCACTTTCCTAACACCTCACAACTTAAGCAGGTTCTTGTCCGGCCTCAACCAACACACCCGCACCGACCCCTCTCTAACACTTCACCCACCACTTTCCTAACACCTCACAACTTAAGCACGTTCTAGTCCGGATTTAACCAACACACCCGCACCGACCCCTCTCTAACACCTCACAACACAAGTAGGTTCTAGTCCGGATTGAACCAACAGAACCGCACCGACCCCTCTCTAACACCTCACCCACCACTTTCCTAACACCTCACAACATAATCAGGTTCTCGTCCGGATTGAACCAGCACACCCGCACTGACCCCTCTCTAACACCTCACCCACCACTTTCCTAACACCTCACAACATAAGCAGGTTCTAGTCCGGCACACTCCCGTCACAATATGGCAGTGTTCCTGCTGGTCCGCATATACATGTATGAGATATATTCATCTCACAGTCCTCAACATACGAATTGAGATCTTTGATGTAAATCAAAATCTTTGATATGAAATTACAATTACAAGTTAATATCTTAAAACCCTATACCCATCAGCCTCAAATTTATGCAGCTCTTCAAAATTAGATCAGAAGAGTTCAATACACAGAGCAAAAGGTTTATCGCACGTAACGATTTCAATCAGGGTCAAGGCCGTTAGTGGAGGACATGCGCATGGGTCATGAAAGGATGAAGTAGACTGCCGAGGACCAATCAGAAAGCAGCATTTACAGCATGAAGCCAGTCTTCATGCCTCCGAAGATGCCCTTCTTCTTGGGTTTGTCCTGTTTGGCTGAAAGAAAATATAACCGGATTTTAGCCACTGTCGTGATACAACATAGTTGAAGGAATATCTGCGACCATGTTGAAAAGCACTGACATTCAAGAAAATTTCTAACGGTTTCTATTGTGTATACTGAATCCACATTTCCTACCTGGAACGGTGTCGGCATTGGAGGCTGCAACAGCAGCTGCAGCGTCCTCACCACTGGAGAGGTCAGTACCAGCTGCAGCAGACTGGACCCTCTCCAAGGCAAGAGCTGCAGCTGCTCTCTTCTCCTCCAGCGCTGCATAATTGTGGGCCTTCTCCAATGCCACTGCCTCCAATCTCTTCACCTCCAACGTTTGCAGGGGTCCCAGCGTTCTTCGAGGAATATGCCGACACTCTCTCTGCCTCCAGAGCTGCAAAAATCAGAGCTTCCTTCCAGGCGGCATATCCAGCATCTGCTGCAGCAGCAGCAGCCTCGGCCTTCTCTACAGCAGCAGCTACGGCCAATCTGTCAGCCTCCATTGCATTGTCAACCATTAGTTTTTCTTGGGCGGCGTACGCCTCAGCGGCTTGCTGATCTGCCTCCCGCTTCAGCATCTCTAGTCTCTGATCTGTTGGGGGAACGATTGTAGTTCAGGCGATCAGGTACTCAGAATGTTAAGTTCAAATTGAAAGGTCAAACATGTTTTACATATTTTGACATTTAACACAACTGCAAAACCAGATATATTTAATTAAAAGGGATAATAAATATCGCGTATTACTTTGTTTTGTTTTTTATTATTCAAAACGCGTATTGCAGTGATGTATTATTTGTGCGAACAGTTTCCTTTTTAAAAACCCTTTATTATTTGTTTCAGGCATTCTGGGAATTATATTTCACGTTCCGCTTTAATCTGTGGCGTAAAACAACAAGTAAGGCTTATAAAATTAGCAATACTTCATTCTTCATAACAAACGCCATGTAGCGATATTTTACAGACCGCCATTATGTAGCTTGATTATTGTTGCGTTACACAAAAACACACAAACAAACAAACAAACATAGGATTGCTACAAAACGTTTCATCCATCATTATGTGTGCCATGCATGTTTAAACAATACCTACCATCGCGGTATTTGAGGTATCTCTGAAATTCATATACGGCTAAAGCCAGACCGTGCAGGAAGATCATCTTGTTTTCAGTGCTGTCGAGAAATAAAACAAGATAGTAGCTGGAATATTGCTGAGTGCGGTGTTATGGTACAAACCAAACAAATCACTTTAATTCAATATACAATCAATTAAAACACAGACCTGTTCAGTGAACCTTATTTGCTTAATATGGTATCATAACCCGAAATAATGTGTTTGTCATAAAGTTTAACAAGCCTCATATTTTAACAACTGATACATGTCGATCAAGATAAGACAAAAATATGTATTGTTCTTTGGGCCTCCCATCGATGCAGCTCAGATACTTTAGTTCAATAAGATGACACTGACAAGGAGTCGTTTTATACCACATCCAAGTAGAACAGTTAAGTGGATTTGTACGTCACAGCAGGGTCCCTGTTCGACTCCCGATTTAATGCGTAACCTGCAGCTGCATATTTGTAAAACTTGCGTAATAATATACTGAATCGTCTACACACTGGCATTACACATGTATTACGAGACTTGTCACCTACCTCGAAACAACAATTGAGATAGCAGCGTCTAAAACGACGTGGAACAACAGCGGCAGCAACAAGACGTCCGACCAAGGCGGCGATGCGCTGACAATGAAGGCGTAACTATGCGGAGTCGTCTATGACGTCACTTCCCATGGAAGGGTCTTACGTCATACTGTGTGGGGTCTATCATGACGCTGGAAAATGCATTTAGAGAAATGTGGTGTTCACGTGTTGAGCTGTTTGTCAAGGGGTGCGGACAGGGGGTCGGAAGCAGAGGCACATCCATGATCAATGTTCACAACTATAAAAGTGTGTTTTTTTGCATTAGTTCTTGTTCAAAGTGCTAGCTGTAAATATTTATTTTGTTCTGACAGTAGTGTGCATCGTCAAAAGGTTCCAAATGTACTGTAGGAATTTAATTATTGTCAACGGAGGAATATATCTGATCAACATTTCGGAAACGTGTTCAAGTTCCGAGGAAAAGGACAATGATTACTTATATGACTTAGCAAGTGGCTAACGTTTAGATTCAGTGGAGAACTGGACTAATGTCATGTTACATAATGATAGAACGTTTGACTCAATAAATGTAATCTGTGCTTACTGTGTTGGTCAGCTGTTCATGCAAAGATAAATACTATGTCAGAACAAAATTGTTAAAATTACATGATGTAAACAAGACCCGTGAAGATCCGTGTTAGAATCGATCTTCTGAAGTAACATGAGTAAGACGGCCGCTCCACATCGGCTATCGGCTGGATGTAGGACAAGCAGGACTTGTAACGTGTAAGTATTATTTTGCTATGTCTTAATCGTAATATTGAGTAATAAAGATAAGCATGTTTGAACTTTAACTTACTATTATGTTGAAAAGTGTTGTTTGAGTGTTTTGTAACAACTACTATTTCTCAGTTCGAACTGATGTCATACGGTATAGAATATGGCATTGATATATCAAGTTGGACAACGAAATCTCTTCATTGTAATGTTTGTGTAGGTCTGTTTAAAATGTCTATAAATTATACGTTAACTGCTACATATAATGAATCAAGTTTATGAAACCTACAGTTGGGCACGTCAAATGAATAACGTTTATGTAACAAGGTTGTCTGAAGGTAAACAATACGTTGCTATCCAGTCGACAGCAGTTATCTCCCTTAGCACTGGCCAATACAGCACTGGGAGAATATTACAGGCATGCTTTTTCCAATGTAAGATGCTGAAAATCCAAGTTTGGCAAGTTCCCGACACTGTTCTTTCATGATTGAAATCAAGGGCGATATAATCAAAACCTTACAATCGAGATTTTTCTGTTCACACAAAACTGGGAATGCTTGGTAGCAAATAGATTTCCCGCCGCCCGTTTTAATGGACAAGAACACGTCCTTTCCATCGAAGAGATGTTTCAGTGCTTTTTCCTGTACGGGTGTCAACTTTGCTATGTTGAAGCGAGAACACACCCGATCGAAGTGATTTTTTTCCGCTGCCATTACTGTTTACCGAAGCAGCGGAAGAGCATTATGATAGAAGCAACATCAGGTAATATCTCTGTCCTGAGGTCCTGTTTCAGGATCATTCCCTCCCCGTTTACAGAGTGGACTGTTCGGTCTTAAGTAGGGCGATGCTAGGTTCCTTTTACTAGTGTTAGGTCGGATTGGGGGAATATGCATTTGATTTCGTTAGATTGTATGCCACTTCCTGCAGTTACTAGCAGCACCGATTGTGAAGATCTTAAAATCAAAACACACACTGAACGCCGAGTCAACGTTCACCATACATACTTACTTATATAAAGTCTTTAGAAAGTTCTGGATGCATATATATGTGCACTTCGTAACTAAACTCTTTCTTTACAGCAAGAACATACACCAAAAATATCACAAATATATTTGTAGTTTTACGCCGCAATTAGCAATATTCCAGCTATATGGCGGCGCTATGTAAATAATCGTGTCCGGACCAGACAATCCAGTGACCAACAGCATGAGCGAACTGGGATGCGATGACATGAGTCAACCAAGTCAGCGAGCCTGACCACCCGATCCCCATTAGCCGCCTCTTATGACAAGCACGGGTCACGATAATCAGAAAAACAAAACTCAAATACAGACAGATAAATATAGACATTTATTTTACAAGGTTTGCAACCACACATTTCATCCAACAGAATGAAAACAAAACAACATCATGTGGTAATCACAAAAGAGGCTGATGGGTAATTAACAAATATTGACAAAGACATTTTTCCTAAAATATTGTATTTTACCATGTACATGTCAACCATACTAAGTAAATGAAATGTGTGACATATCGGACGTACTGAAGTACAGACTAGGAGAGCGGGATATGCTGGTGTCGGTCAGGTTTTGGTCCGAGTTCGAACTCTGGTTCTGTCCACATAATGGGTTCTGTTCACATAAATATAGCTGCCATTATGTTAGGCAAGAAAATACTTCAGCTTGACCTAATGTTGAATTTGTGAAGGATCGGGCTAGGTGTATCATGTTGTTGTAACAGATTATTATACACGAAACACAACGCATGAGGTAGGCAAAAATGTCTGTATTACTTGACATCTACTACAAAGGTGCCGTTGATGTAGGTGTCTTTCGAAAACAACACTAGAGAGGTGAAACTGGGGTATTTGGGACACAACACTAGAGAGGTGACACTGGTGTCTTTGGAACACAACACTAGAGAGGTGACACTGGTGTCTTTGGAACACAACACTAGAGAGGTGACACTGGTGTATTTGGGACACAACACTAGAGAGGTGACACTGGTGTCTTTGGAACACAACACTAGAGAGGTGACACTGGTGTCTTTGGAACACAACACTAGAGAAGTGACACTGGTGTCTTTGGAACACAACACTAGAGAGGTGACACTGGTGTCTTTGGAACACAACACTAGAGAGGTGACACTGGTGTCTTTGGAACACAACACTAGAGAGGTGACACTGGTGTCTTTGGAACACAACACTAGAGAGGTGACACTGACACTGGGTGTTTGGGGACACAACACTAGAGAGGTGACACTGGTGTCTTTGGAACACAACACTAGAGAGGTGACACTGGTGTCTTTGGAACACAACACTAGAGAGGTGACACTGGTGTCTTTGGAACACAACACTAGAGAGGTGACACTGGTGTCTTTGGAACACAACACTAGAGAGGTGACACTGGTGTCTTTGGAACACAACACTAGAGAGGTGACACTGGTGTCTTTGGAACACAACACTAGAGAGGTGACACTGGTGTCTTTGGACCACAACACTAGAGAGGTGACACTGGTGTCTTTGGAACACAACACTAGAGAGGTGACACTGGTGTCTTTGGAACACAACACTAGAGAGGTGACACTGGTGTCTTTGGGACACAACACTAGAGAGGTGACACTGGTGTCTTTGGAACACAACACTAGAGAGGTGACACTGGTGTCTTTGGAACACAACACTAGAGAGGTGACACTGGTGTCTTTGGGACACAACACTAGAGAGGTGACACTGGTGTCTTTGGAACACAACACTAGAGAGGTGACACTGGTGTCTTTGGAACACAACACTAGAGAGGTGACACTGGTGTCTTTGGAACACAACACTAGAGAGGTGACACTGGTGTCTTTGGAACACAACACTAGAGAGGTGACACTGGTGTCTTTGGGACACAACACTAGAGAGGTGACACTGGTGTCTTTGGGACACAACACTAGAGAGGTGACACTGGTGTCTTTGGAACACAACACTAGAGAGGTGACACTGGGGTGTCTTTGGGACACAACACTAGAGAGGTGACACTGGTGTCTTTGGGACACAACACTAGAGAGGTGACACTGGTGTCTTTGGAACACAACACTAGAGAGGTGACACTGGTGTCTTTGGAACACAACACTAGAGAGGTGACACTGGTGTCTTTGGAACACAACACTAGAGAGGTGACACTGGTGTCTTTGGAACACAACACTAGAGAGGTGACACTGGTGTCTTTGGGAACACAACACTAGAGAGGTGACACTGGTGTCTTTGGAACACAACACTAGAGAGGTGACACTGGTGTCTTTGGCACACAACACTAGAGAGGTGACACTGGTGTCTTTGGGACACAACACTAGAGAGGTGACACTGGTGTCTTTGGGAACACAACACTAGAGAGGTGACACTGGGGTCTTTGGGACACAACACTAGAGAGGTGACACTGGTGTCTTTGGAACACAACACTAGAGAGGTGACACTGGTGTCTTTGGAACACAACACTAGAGAGGTGACACTGGTGTCTTTGGAACACAACAACAGAGAGAGGTGACACTGGTGTCTTTGGAACACAACACTAGAGAGGTGACACTGGTGTCTTTGGAACACAACACTAGAGAGGTGACACTGGTGTCTTTGGAACACAACACTAGAGAGGTGACACTGGTGTATTTGGAACACAACACTAGAGAGGTGACACTGGTGTCTTTGGAACACAACACTAGAGAGGTGACACTGGTGTCTTTGGGACACAACACTAGAGAGGTGACACTGGTGTCTTTGGGACACAACACTAGAGAGGTGACACTGGTGTCTTTGGGACACAACACTAGAGAGGTGACACTGGTGTCTTTGGAACACAACACTAGAGAGGTGACACTGGGTGTTTGGGACACAACACTAGAGAGGTGACACTGGTGTATTTTGGAACACAACACTAGAGAGGTGACACTGGGTGTCTTTGGAACACAACACTAGAGAGGTGACACTGGTGTCTTTGGGACACAACACTAGAGAGGTGACACTGGTGTCTTTGGAACACAACACTAGAGAGAGGTGACACACTTTGGAACACAACACTAGAGAGGTGACACTGGGTGTTTGGGACACAACACTAGAGAGGTGACACTGGGGTCTTTGGGACACAACACTAGAGAGGTGACACTGGTGTCTTTGGAACACAACACTAGAGAGGTGACACTGGGGTGTTTGGGACACAACACTAGAGAGGTGACACTGGTGTCTTTGGAACACAACACTAGAGAGGTGACACTGGTGTCTTTGGAACACAACACTAGAGAGGTGACACTGGTGTCTTTGGGACACAACACTAGAGAGGTGACACTGGTGTCTTTGGGACACAACACTAGAGAGGTGACACTGGGGTGGCACACAATTTGGATACACAACACTAGAGAGATCGTGACACTGTAACACTCGGTCGGATATTTGGAACACAATGGTGACCATTGGCGAACAATTTATTGTGCCAAATACTAGGGCAAAGGCATCGGTAAGGCAGCATTTTTGGTTGAAAGAGTTCACGGTAGATGGAACTATTGGTCAGAGGAACGCGGTATGTAGAATATGCAATGGTAAAGTAGTTTTTATTAAAGCTTAATCAAGCACAGTGCTTTTGTTGTGTTTTGCTTTATAAATCAAGCATTAACATATTAATATATTGCAATACATATCGCAATGTATGCTTTCGCATCGCAAAATGAAAATTCTTTGCAATACCCACCCCTACACAATACTAGAGGGTAAGGTTCCCTCCATCAGAATACAAACAAGTGGTCTCAGGACAATGGCGTCTTCACAACACAATTTTAGAATGTGAGACCATTGCGGGGCACTTCAAGCAATCAGAAAGATAGTTTAACATGTTTTGATTTAAGAATGAAGGCATACATGGTTATTTTCACTGGAGAGGTGACACTGGGACACCTTTGTAGAAGGGCTCCCTTTCGTACACCTGACCGACGACTTCTCCAACCTCTACCTGCAACACCTCACCAACCTACGTCGATGACATCCTCCAACAGCTCACCGACCCAGGTGTAAACATCTCACCTACCTCTCTCTCACTTATCATCGATGATCTCTCAAACATATTTCAGTAACCCGAATCTAACACCCCATCAACCCTCTCTCCAACACCCATGTACGACCTCAGCGACCCAAGACTTCTGTAACACCACATCAACCCCTCACCAACACAGCTGTACGACATCAGCGACCCCCTCTGAAACACATGGTGGACCTCTCCAACAGATCTATGATCACCCTCTGTCATGGCTACTGGTCGACAACAAACGAATCTGACACCAAGACAATCATCTGCTTGACAGTGTTGAACTGAACTATATCTTTTGTTGAAATTAAAAGTTATGGACGATTTAGTCCGACCTGAATTGTCTACAACACGTCGACATGGTGAAGGAACACCTCCGCTCAGTCCCATCTCAGTATGTGTTCAGTGTTCCTCCTGTTCTGGACATATGTCATCAGTTAAGTCATCTAACAGCCCTGAACACGGTAGGCATGATAGTTATAGAAGGAAACACACATTTATTGAAAAGAAACTTAAACCTACATATACTAAACGCCAAATATTAACTTTACCCATCAGCCTCTAAATCTCTGCGGAAGTTGATCACACCGCTTCTGTACAGATAGCAAAATAGTTCATCGGGAATTGATTCAATCAGGGTCAAGGTCGTTAGTGGAGGACATGCGCGTTGATCATGAAAGGATGAGGTAGACTGCCGAGGACCAATCAGAAAGCAGCATTTACAGCATGAAGCCAGTCTTCATGCCTCCGAAGATGCCCTTCTTCTTGGGTTTGTCCTGTTTGGCTGAAAGAAAGTAAGTGGATTTTAGCCACTGTCGTGATACACCATAGTTGAAGGAATACCTGCGACCATGTTGAAAAGCACTGACATTCAAGAAAATATCTAACGGTTTCTATCGTGTGTACTGAATCCACATTCCCTACCTCGAACGATGTCGGCCTTGGGAGCTGCAACAGCAGCTGCAGCGTTTTCACCACTGGAGAAGTCAGTACCAGCTGCAGCAGACTGGACCCTCTCCAAGGCAAGAGCTGCAGCTGCTCTCTTCTCCTCCAGCGCTGCATAATTGTGAGCCTTCTCCAATGCCTCCGCCTCTAATCTCTTCACCTCCAACGTTTCAGGGGACCCAGCGTTCTTCGAGGAATATGCCGACACTCTCTCGGCTTCCAGAGCTGCAAAAATCATGGCCTCTTTCCAGGCAGCATATCCAGCATCTGCTGCAGCAGTAGCAGCCTCGGCCTTCTCGACAGCAGCGGCGGCGTACGTCTCAGCAGCTTGCTGATCTTCCTCCCGCTTCTGCATCTCTTGTCTCTGGTCTTTTGGACCGAAAGATTGTAGGTGAGTTAGATAGGAAAATAGACCCGACCAATAATCACCAATTAGAGTTGTAAATATGGGTTGGATTTGAAAACATTGTTGATGGTCAACTGGTGAATTATTTCATCTAGCAAGCAGAGTGTAACTTCATCCATTTCTGTTAGAACATAGCCCCACAGTAACTAGTACTTGTCGTTAGAGAAAACTAAATGTTAATCGATGCTCATGCTGTCAATCACTGGATTGTCTGGTCCTAATCGCCATGACTTAACTAGATTGTTGATGAGTACGGCGTTAAAGAACGACAAAGGAAATTCAAGGATCGGTATATGTGTCATGTAAACAATACCTACCATCGCGGTATTTGAGGTATCTCTGAAATTCATATACGGCTAAAGCCAGACCGTGCAGGAAAATCATCTTGTTTTCAGTGCTGTCGAGAAGTAAAACAAGACATATTTTTTATCATTCCAAAATATACACACTAAATCTCTTTCATCGTCCACAACTTACCTTCAGTTAATAGGTTAAGCCCATGTCTGGTGTCCCCCGCCGTGATATTGCTGGAATATTGCTAAAAGCGGCGTAAAACTATACTCAGTCAGTCAGTCAGTCAGGTAAGTGGGTTAACTGGATTTGTTCTTCAAAGTTGGGACCGTGTTCGAATCCCCGATTTTAAGCAAACATTGCAGCGACAAATTTGCCAAACCGTGCTAAAAATTCAACTGAATCGCTTCTAAACCCGTTTGACTGTTTACAGGTATATTTGTACATTTGTCACCTACTTTGCAACGACCAATCAAGATGACTGCGTCCGTAACGGCGTGCAACAAAAGCAGCAGCAGCAACAAAACGTCCGATTCTGCCGCCAAAGCGCTGACAATGAAGCGGTAACTAAGCCGGTCGTCTATGACGTCACTCTCCTACCCAGAGTTCCATGCGGCCAGCATAGTACCAATGGTATGCTATTGTTGGGGACGAAATTTGGTACGGCTCTTTGTCTCAGGAAACTATAATACTTGTTTCAATTTACATACGAGCACACGGTGAATCACGGAGAATATTATGAAAGTGTGAATTTGGGTAATAAACGGCACAAGACACTTATATACAATTATACTATACTGTGATTGAGTGAGTGAACGCGCGTGCGCGCGTGTGAGTGAGTAACTGCGTGGGTGGGTGGGTGAGTGAGTGAGTGACAACACGGTTACGGCAAACCTGAAGCCTTTATAGGTGTGGAACTGAATGGTACATTCTCACTGATTGGGAAATCAGCTTCACTTCAAACAGAACTAACAGGAGCAAATTCATTAAAGAACTCATACCAGTAAAAGCCACACCAGGTTGTTTTACCGTAAAGCCTGTTCACAATGCAAAACTTCCGGGCCAACATCATCGGGAATGTCTTGAAGATATATCACAACTGCCATTTTGACAGCCATGTTGTCGGACCTTTTGAGATTTACCTCCCTTACTTTTGGGGGCATGGTAAACTCACCGCTGGCGATGCGTCGGCGGTGACGTCATTGCAATTAGTCAGTGGTAATAAAATGAATATGGTGCAAACTCCCCTGGGCTTCCTACACAACATTATACTGAATAATGTTCTATGTTGGAAGCCTGGAATCTAGTAACACTGAGAGACAAAACAACAACCAGGGCATATTGACTGTAAAATTAACTTTCCGCAACCGAGATCAGATCAGATCAATGATCCAGTTCCATTTGTTGCACAACGACATGGTGGTAGCGTTCTGAATATCATTCAGCTAAGGTGACGGGTGCAAAAATATTACGTGAATCAAGTCTTTTCCGGCGATAACAAGGCCTCACATTTTTTAAAATGTTTTCCTTACGTGAGTATGTGTGTCACTTTTCACAAACGTTTCAAACAAAAGGTCTAAACAGTTTGAAATCAGATGCGGCCTGACCATTTCAGGAAGATTTTTGAAGCACTTTAATGACATGTTATACATTACGCGAGAAATAAAATGTGCGAGCATGACGAGTGTGCAAATGTGCGAGTGTCTTTCACACCCGCGCAAATTATTTCCGTGTATTGTTTGTGACAGTCGTGTGAAGAAAACTGTCTGACGTCGCACCAACGTTGTATATAAACATCGTTGTATGGCGTCCGATACACAATATAATCACAGCGTAAGTTTGGACATAGATACGGTCGTTGCATATATATGATACTTTTAGCTATCGACTCCACGGTTATGTGGTTCACTAATGTAATTAATTGTGTTTCTGAAGTCAAAGACAAACCGCGAACTTATGTTTAGGTTAGGTAAGATGGTTCTGTGTTAGTGGGCCAAGGTGCCACTCTCAGGCGCAGTGATGACTTATCACTGCCAGAGGCTAATTTACATATCACGTGACCGGACCTTTTCTCTTGTTTGTAAACAAACGCACATATTCAGAAATCAGAAGAGACTGACCTTATGCAAGTTTTTCGGTGCGCTATTCATACTGTTTTACATTGTTATATAGATATTATTTTATAACTGAAACAGTCAGATTTATGACAATACATATTTATACATCAAAGTTACTCCATCGCTTGCTCTCCATAAAGAGCTTCGCTGACAGCAGATGGAACCCATAACCTATGCAAAAAAGGATCGCCACGCAAACCGAAATAGTGTTACGACGTTTTTCGATATTTTCTCAGTGAAAGTAAACGATTCTATCAAAAAAGTTTAAGTAGATGCATGTATACTCGTCAAAAATACAAGCGTTAAGAAATAAATATATACAATATATTGAATGGACTGTGCTATATATTGAATGGCCTGTGGCAGAGTAAGCTTGGCTCCGTCTCGCATATACAAGTTAGCGCCCGCAAAGGGTGCCGGGACCCAGCTAAATTTAGTGGCAGGGATACTATACTGGTCGCATGGAACTCTGGGTAGGAGAGTGCCAAGTTGAGGTGGCGGTGTGTCGTCATATCTGGCGATGCTGACGTCATACCCAGCTAACACGAAAATGTTCCAGAAACGTTTTTTAAAATGTTTTATCATCCAAAACTGTGTTCCACAGGAGATATCGCTTGTGTGAGATCAGACGATATCTCCTAGGAGATATCGTTTTGACAGTAGATTTTGCACAATGCCCTGACAATGTTATGACGTCATGAACTTGATGACGTCACAATGCTATGACATCGCTGCACTGCAAATCTAATGGCAGTACTGTGTTCAGAGATGTACATTTTTCATTGAAAACTAATGAAGAGTCATTTTGGATGATAAATAGAATCTCACCCTCGTGTCTTCTGATATCAAATATATCAACACTCGTTGATAAAAGTAAAAATATCCTCGGCAAGCCTCGGATATTTGTTACTTTATCAACTCGTGGTGATATATTTGATATCAAAAGACACTCGGGTGAGATTCTCTATTTATTCACGTGATTTCGTATGGTTCCAGAAACGTTTTAAAAACATTTTCAAAAACGTTTAACTATAAGGTTTTTGAAATGTTTTCCTGAAATGTTTTTGAAATGTTAAAAAAAATATGTTTTATTCACGTAATTTTGTATGGTTCCAGAAATGTTTTAAAAACATTTTCAGAAACGTTTAACTGTAAGGTTTTTAAAATGATTTCCTGAAATGTTCTTGAAATGTTTAAAAAAAATGTTTTGTTCACGTGATTGTGTATGGTTCCAAAAATGTTTTAAAAACATATTCAAAAACGTTTAAATATAAGGTTCTTAAAATGTTTTCCTGAAATGTTTTTGAAATGTTAAAAAAAAAAAATTATTCACGTGATTTTGTATTGTTTCAGAAATGTTTTAAAAACATTTTCAAAAACGTTTAAATATAAGTTTTTTAAAAAGTTTTCCTGAAATGTTTTTCGAGATGTTTTGGAAATGTTTAAGACAAATGTTTTATTCACGTGATTTGTATGGTTCAAGAAATGTTTTAAAAACATCCCAAAAACATTTCGTAACTTTTACATAATGTTTTTGGAAATATTGTAGAACAATATTCTGAAACTGTCAAAACATTTTACTCACTTGATTTTGTAAGGCTCCAGACGTGTTTCATAAACTTATGATTATGTTATTTTGACGGCATATTCATAAAAAAATACAAATCATGTTTCGATACACTGTCATAAAAAAAGTATAAAAAAACCTTCCGAACTTCTGTTCCAGTTATGAAAACATAGTTACCATCCAGTCCAACAGCAAGGCCTTGAATTACCACAGTCTGCCTTTGTTGATGTTTCTGAAAACATAAAAAGTGTTAAGTACTATTTTGACGTCATATAGTATCATGCTATTGCCTAACCAGTGAGTGAGTGAGTTTAGTTTTACGCCGCACTCAGCAATATCCCAGCTATATGGCGGCGGTCTGTAAATAATCGAGTCTGGACCAGACAATCCAGTGATCAACAGCATGAGCATCGATCTGCGCAATTGGGAACCGATGACATGTGTCAACCAAGTCAGCGAGCCTGACCACCCGATCCCGTTAGTCGCCTCTTACGACAAGCATAGTCGCCTTTTATGGCAAGCACATGGGTTGCTGAAGACCTATTCTACCCCGGATCTTCACGGGTCATTGCCTAACCAAACAAATTAGATGTGTATATATAGATCCACAAGAATAGTTATATTTAACTAAAAGACATACTCATTTATGGATTTGTGAAAGAGAAAGTAACATTTCGATTTGCACGTTAACTTAAAACATTACAACATTAAAAAAGGCAGAATCTGTGGCACCGGCATAATATGCCAAGGGGAACCACTCCCATCTTGCATATAAACTAAAATTATCTGCTCTTGAATTATTGGAAAGGTCACGGCCATTGTTATTCACATGCGGACGGACACCTTTCACTATTATCCTTTCCTCGATTATCAAAAAGGTATGTTGTTTCACTCTTCTTCCAGCATTGGAGTCACATGGTGGGAATAATAATGTTTCTGACGTTAAATGGGTGGTTTATTCTGCACGTTGTTGAAGTTTCCAGGCGAACCATACAGTTTTATGCAATATACAATCCCCATACGTAAAGATAATCACTTGTGTGAAACGCACCCTGCCTGGACATTTTGTCACGGATTACTTAGCCCCTTGTACATACATTCGATTGTAACTTACAATGCTAGCCTTCAATCTCAACGTGCAAGAGATCGTAATCTTAAGTATTTACAATAATTGCAGCGCTAATATTGCTCTATGAAAGTGGGCCCTGGTCAGAAAACAGATTCAGTGATTGCTTGGCATTTGTCAACTTCCCTTACCTTTACATAGTTTACTCCACCAGGTTTGCTGGGGGCATTTCTTAAGACCTCTAGCATTTCAGATCTAATGTCGTGAAACAAGTCTTTCCTGATGCTTTCCTTGCATCTGCTAAAACATAAAAGTTAAATATTGTAAGTATAAAAGAATGAATAATTATAAAAA